TCAAATATAATACAATAATTAATCTCTAAGATAAATTTTATATAATATATTCTGATGTGTGAGAGATATTAAATTTTGTGTTCTTCCAACAGTAAAATTTGTTAATTAATAACCAGATATGTATTTATCAATTTTCTCTTCTTTATTTTCTATTTTTAAAAGAAATATACCGATTTATTTACTCACAATATTATTATAATTTTAATAATTATAATATTAATAATTATAATATTAACAATTATTATAATATTAATAATATTATTAAATTATATAAGATTATAGAAGATCAAAAATTAAAGAATTTATATCACTAAAGCGTCCGCCTTTGCCATTTAAATGTAATAAATTGTACTAAAATTATGAAAAGTGATATCGACCTTCAACGTAGGATTTGATGTTGAACACTCCTAAAGTTCATCTACGTAATAGACTTAGAGGTGGAGACGTAAAGCCGAGGCTTTAAGAACTCGTAGTTTGAAATATGAATATGTGATGAAGAAATCTAAGAGTGGAATTACTCGGCAAAAGCGGAAATCCTCACAGCTTAAATGGGTTTACGTTCGGTTGTATCTGTAGTGATATATAGTACCATGCACAACGCTTAATGCATCATCTTCCATGCACGTGTTATCCTGCAGGATAACTGTGTGATAATGAAATTAAATCACCCAATTATGTTTAATATTAGCTAAACATTATTTCCTAATATTGGCGAAACATTGGAAAACAGTGTACAGCCACTATTAAACATTGAACAAAAATTAAATCCCTAATATTGTTGAATCAATATTAGCTAAATATGATTAGACATCTACCTTACAATATTTGACTAATATTGAGGATTCCATTCTTACTTACCAATGTTTAATATTGGCTCTACATTGTTTCCCAATATTGCGACAAATACTTTGTGCTATTAGAGATTATATTAATGACGTTGCGAGTTTTTTATGGCAATAACAGCAACACCAGAATTGGAAAAGTCAGTCGTTACTGTAATAGAGCGGAAGTCACTCGTTACTGAAAAGAATAATTCATTATTCGCAATGTTACTCGTTGCTTTTAACGAATAAAATAACGCGTCGATGCGTTACAAGTATCGCATTATATTTTTTCAGTAAATATAACGCTTAATGATGACAAGTTACTTTTCAAAGTGACTTCTCCAATCTTAGTGCAATCTTATCGTTTAGTTAGTTATCGTTACAGTCATAAACAATTGCAACGTCATTATCGAATCGTTATTATAAAAAGTATTATAACGGTAAAAGTAACGGCGTCACTATACTTCTATTCCCTGTTATCAAGTCACAAATATGTGGTCGATAAACAAAGGGAATCTTCTAAATAAATCACAGAATTTAATGAAAAAGTAACATTTTTACATTTTACATTAATATTTATTTACTATTTTAATTAATTCAACTATTTAAACTGTGGACTAGTTGAGCATTTATTAATATTAAATTATAATAATATATATTAACATTGTATAAGTATGTGTGCATATAAAGAGAGAAGATATTTCTCTAAGAACATTTTTCCGACATGACATTTCGACATTTGCGCAGATATAACAAGAGAATCGCTTCATTTATAAGTTATCAAAAAGAGATAAAACAAAATGGTATATTTCCACAGATTTATCTCTTTTCCTTCTACATTCAACCAGTCCCTTACAGCTTCCTGTTTAAAAATCCACCTTGTACTTCGCCCTCGGTTTAGCACAATGAAAGGAGCGAGGTGCCTCGCGAACGTGAGGTACAGTATCACGGAGTCACGAGAGTGAAGAGTACAACAGTGAACGGCGCCGAGAGACGGAGGGAGCGAGCAGATGGTACGACGAAAGGAGAAGAGGAGAGGAGGGGTGCACGTTGGAGAAAGATAGAAAATGATAGAGCGCGCTCGTTCCAGGCAACTCGGCCGCGTCGGTCGACATCGGAGCTCAGTATGCCGTGCAGCGCGCAGGCTCGCGTACACACGTATTGTCCTTTTCTCTCTCTCCCCGTTTTGCTTTCCGCGCGCGGCGAGTCCTCTCTTTCTCTTCTTCCCTCCCGCTTCTCTCGCGCGCGCACCGTCGCGTCGTCCGGTACGCACGCTCCGCGCGTATTCCTCGCGTACGTACGTACAACACGTAGCCTACGCACGCCGAATATAATACTTACGTGCGTGCGTGCGCGCGCGTGCATCGAAGTAATACGCAAGTACAAATATTTCGCGGCGCAGGCTTTTTTTTTCTCCTCCGCACGCACGCGTTTCGCGACCTACCTTTTCCTGCGCGTTCTCTACGCCGCTCTTGCGTATCCGCGAGTGCGTTAATCGTGTGTATGCATACATATATATACATGTGTATGTGCACGTGATTTCTTTCTTTTTTTTTTTATGCATGACTACTCGCGCACAGCGGCAGACAGGTACGTGGAGGACAGGTACACACGTCGTGGTCGGCCGTCGCGCCGCGCACCGAGTGCACCGAGTTGACTAACGGAGTGCCGTCGCTCGCGAGTGCCGCTGCTCCGCGAAACACGGGCGCAGGTAACGCGAAGAAGATATATATATATATATTTTTTTTTTCTTTTCCGTGCAGGAAAGAAGAAGTGTATCGATGCGTCAGTGCGACGTCTGCGCGCGACAACGACTCGAGTCGCGTGACCCACATACACGCGACGAGTGACACGGTGACACACGGGCGAAAGTGATTGAACCGATGCGAATGGGTGCGCGCACAAGTGTCGCGAGTTCGTCGCAGGAAAGAGCGGGAAAATCGAGCGATATTGGAACCGACCCGTACACGATACGTGAGTACGGTGTACGTACAGCGCACGCTACGCGCGTAGGAAGAAAGGAACGCGTGTGAACGAACGAACGTACGTGAATGTGATCGGAGCGCGTTACGAAACTCCTGTAGGCCTGAGATGTGGCACAAAATGAAGCGAGCGTATCCGCAAGCGATCGATAACTATAGCTGCACTATAGTCGACTCGGTGAATAGCAAGCGGCCTGTGCTACCAGCCAATCCAACCTAACGGACAACGCGTGACCTCCAGGAGCGGCGTGACGAGTAGGTGGATGGGTTCGCCGACGATCCCAACTCGTTCAACCACGCCGATGATGTTGAGAGAGAGTCGCGCGACGTTTTTGTAATACGTTCGAAGAAACGGGTCGGCGAGAAACGGGGAAAAGGGAAAGAGAGAGAGAAAGCGAAAACACACGCGCGAGGGAAAATATGCGTTTAACGACGATGCGAGTGGAAAGAAATCTTTCGGGTGATATTCGGTAATGGAACGTCGTCGTTAATGACGCGACGGTGATCGACGGAATCGATCGTCGTCCAACGATCGATTTAGCGCGCATCGCGCGCGATCCGGTATCTTCGTTCCCCTTCTCCGGAACGTTCGAAGCGGAACGCGAAGAGAATCAGAGTCGAGGAAGAGAGACAAACGAAAGGAGGTAGAAGGGAAGAAGGGCGAGAGAAAAGAAGAGCGAGAGCGAGAGAGAGAGAGAGAGAGGGGGGAAAGGACGAAGGAGAAAAACAGAGATAGAAAGGAATAGAGAAAGAAAGAGAAAGAAGATATCTTATTTTTAGCAACGCCGCTTTGCACATCGCAAAAACCGGTTTCACAGAGTCCACACAATCTACAAGAGTACGAAGAAAACCGATAGCTTTCGCCAAGGGTTTTTGAGGGAGGAAGAAATACGTATACAGATAACAAAGACACGTATACGTTTGTCTCTGTTGTAGAGATAGAGTGAGAAAAGAAAGGAACAGAGAAATATATGCTTATCAGAGGCACTTTGAGGTGAAAATTCCCTTGGATACGATTCCTAAAGTATTCAAAGGTATATGACAACTCCAGGAATTATAGATAAAACAGAAATTGGATAGAGCATAAAAGATTCAACAAACAAATTCATTGTGATATCTGATTCAAGGCTTTGTGTGTGTGCGTGTATGTGTGCGTATCTGTGTGTGTATGTGTGAATAAAGAGGAAGATATACGAGGAAACAATGTCACAGAACGTGGAATTCGTTTAAGTCAATACGCGTGCACTTCTCGTGCACCCTGCCGCACCTTACTCCCTCGAACTCCCAGCCATCAGCCACAACCACCTCTGCCGCCCCTTCTTTTCTCAGGCTACCGGCTTATCGATTGCGTGCGTATGCACGCGATAACGCAGTCGACATGAGATTCGATTATCGACTGTAATGACGACGACGACGTTCGAGATCTCGGGATTGAAGAAGCTACCTGACGACATCTGAAGATTGAAGAAGCTACTTGACACCTGAATTAGATGCTAACTGGTACCTGTCAAAATCGTCGAGTTTACGATCAAAGTCAAAGACAGACAGGACCGCAAAAAATGCTGAGAATGCTTCACGATTGAGGAATCGAAACTGTATCGTTATCAATGAATCAGTTCGAGCGGTCTTCAAGAAGAAATAAGTAAAAATAAGATTGATTGTTGACAAAATTTAGATTACTAATTCGTTTATATCCAGAATATGGATATATATCGTACTCTAGTCTGTAATTACTAATAAAAATCGGAAGAAAACAGAATCTATATCGAAAAATAGAAGATAAAGATATTTTACTTCTCAACGACGAATAACGATCAACACAAACGTTGAGCATTAAATGGGAAAATCGATACTCGTCAATAGTATCGAATCGCGCCGATGCTTGAAACGTTTGATTCCCGATCACACTTTAGAATACCTATATTAATAATATATCGACATATTGATGACGTTAAATTCATTTGTAACAAATTGACATCTCCAAGCTGAGGAAGGATTCAATAGGATATGTTCGTTGATTTATGCAAATCTCTATAAATCGCATACGATATTGTCGATGAAGATACCAAAGCCATTGACATCAACGTGATCGATTCGCGTCCGATTCACACATCCGCGACAACGCAGAGAACTCTCGTCGCAGACTCGTCATCGACGTAAAGCCGGCAGAACGTTATCGAAGAATACGAACGGCATGAAGAATGGCAACCAATTCTTCAAGCACTCGTCAGGGCGTAAGGGCGATCGCCACGACGACTACCGATCCGCAGCGGAGCGAGAAGCGCGCCGTCGCGGCACGGGGTGCCGCCGGCGCTCTGGCCCTGAGCGTCGTGGCTCTCGTCGTGCAATCGGCGGCCACTGCGACTCCCACCTGGGGATACTTCACCAATCCTGACGGTGAGTCATTGTCCGGCGCGCGCGTGATCGGTTTTATTAATTAAGCCCTGCTTCTCATATACGTGACTCACTTCGTGGTTATGTAGGTTAAGTTTTTTTCGCGAGTTTGGCGTGCTCGATAAGCTGGCTTGAATATTTTTTTTAGTTTATATTGGAAAAAAGAGGAAACGCTGTTTAATTAAGTTCAACTTAGCTTTCATAATAATTTTATATATAGTAACTTTTTACTGTTTTCTTTTTATAGCTGTAATATTAATAACACTGATACAAGTGACGAAAGAAAATCAGATTAACACAAATAAGCGAAGAAGGCCATATTCGGTTAAAACGGATATTGATGTCTGATAATATTTTTGTGTGAATCTTACTTCGAGCAAATTGTTTACCGATTTATTTGTCAATCTTGAAACATAATCTTAAATTAAAAAAAGCTGGAGTACGTAATGTTACAAATTAAATTGACGAGCAAAGCGATTTAATAATACTAATGCTAATGAGCATCTTTGAAATATTGTCAAGAATTTATTGTGAAAAATATCTCAGCCAAGATTCAAACCTGAATTTCTCTATAAGTATACCTCGTGACGGGTATCTTAATTAAAATTAGATCAGCCTCGGTGGTCGAATTGGTATGACGTCCGTCTCGGAAAGTTGGAAGTTCAGGTTCATACTTTGGCTGACGTAATATTTTTCGCAGATTCTCATTAACATCAGATTATTAATATTAATAAAATTATTCACAGGTTTAAGATTCTCATTAAAATCTAATTATTAATAATATCATTAATATTAATAAAATTATTCGCAGATTTAAGATTCTCATTAACATCTGATTATTAATATTCTATAAAGATGCTTATATTAGCATAAAAAATATTAAATCACTTATCAATTTAATAAGCGATATTACTACTCTACTTCTGCTCATGATTTCAAAAAGATTTCGACGCGCTGTTTGCGGAATCAGACACCCATAAAAATTCACACAGAAATTTTAAGCATTAAGATCCGTTTTGACCAAATGTAAGAATTCTCTTATTTAATTAGATTTATTCTTATCTGTTATTCAAATTCATAAGTCATAAAACTGGATTAGTTTTGATCGACGTAGCAAATAATAACATTGGCGTTCTAAAAGCATTTCAAAACACGCTTTTTATTATTTCTCTTTTTTGTGAATTGTGGTGAACTGTTATTTGTGATTAAGCTTATTAGAGAACACATCTCTAATACTTTGTCTTATATATCGAGTAATAGAGGAAATGTCACATAAAATTGGATGTCTTGTCTTGCAATAATGTTGCATCTCGTAGAATGATCGATAGTCAGAAATCTCATCTCGACGATGTACTGATTAGTGATGCAAATCTTAAAGCACGTAACGGGATCATCAAAGGATATTGGATATTACGCTGTATTAGATTTATTTTCGTACGTGATAAATGAACGGACGGATATGGAATGTGCAATGACTGTCTAGTTAATATCCAAAGATAAAACATAACGAGATGAAATCGTGCTTCACATGCAAATTAATTAAAGATGTTCTTTTATTAAAAGCCTTTTCTATAAATTAAAATTGATCACTAGTCATAATAAAAGTCGAACAAAATTATATTTAAATTTTCAAGATTCTTCTTCTTGAAAAATTTTAATAAGTTTATTTAAAAAATTACAAAATTTACTGCATTGTACAAGTATTTGCAAAATACTTTTGTTCTTGTCTTGTACAAGAATAATTAACCAACGTAATATATTTATATATCAAAATTTTAGTAAAATAAAATCCTTTCGATAAATAAATATGTAATATAATGAGTATAATATTTGATAATCGAAGATATATTTTTCTTTTAAAGATATTACGCAAAAATAACCATAATATATGATGACATCATTTTTGCATTACGCAAGTTATACCGATTAACAAGATTAATCAGCTTTTCTAAATTATAGCTATAACTTATACTTCTTTTTTACACATCTCAAGAAACGTTCATGTCATTCCAAGACGGATCAAGGATGCAATTATCGTTATTGTGATATGTTGTTTTTCACGACGAACAGTGTATTTCCAGCATCGAGAGGATTTCAACGGAAGGTTCCGCGTCGCAAGTAGAGCGTATTAAATATATTCAAGGAGCCAGAAACATTTCCTTCGTTCATTCATATCAGCCTAGTATAATCAAAACGCGTTTTACGGAGTAGTAACGGGTTTGACCCAATTCAGAGCATACGGCTCTCTATATATCGAGTCAATTAATTCCAGCAGCTCATTTTTACAGCCACGTTACGCGTACTGCTTTTCCTCGTCTACCTTTACCTCTCGCCGACCTGTTTCTCTCTTGCCTAATAGTTACAGCGCTGCGGAGATAGTCTCAGCCTTCGACTTCAATGCGGCGTTCTTCTCGAGAATATCCCATGTAATTTCTACTACAAAGTCCATCTACTCTTTGCACAATCGCGTCAACGCGATGTTTCCTTCATTCTCGTTAACGAGAGCAATTTATTGCTTGCGCTTCTATATATACTTATTATTACGTATTCTCCATCCCGGAATCGTCTGGATTATTATATTGAAGCTTTAAATAAGCGAAAAATTAATTTTGAACTTTTTGAAATTTTAGTATCAAAATGTTGTTATATTTTGTTTAATTTATATGTTTTTTATCATTACGTATTACTTATTATATACAATAACGACGTAATTCAAGAAACAAGGTTTTCTAGAAAATAAGTTTGATTGTTTTGAATGATTAAAACTTTAGAATATTAATTTCGAAATGTAATTTGAATATAATAACTGATTGTACAGGAATAATAATATGCACTTTTAAAATATGTTTTTTTTCTTTATATTAATTATATATTGTTCCCATTCTTTTTTTTTTACAAGCAACTGCTTCTTTTATAAGTAATAATGACAATTTTGAATTATATTGTTGTTGTATGAGTAAATGAGCGATACATGCTTCTCTATGAATTCTATATACGGAGAGAATTTTCTTTTAAAATTTACTCCGAAAATATGGTAGTTGTAGTACAATATAATATTAAAAAAATTTTTTATCATGCACTCCAGTAAAATTAATCAAACTTATTTTATAGTTTAATGTAGTTTTATTAATAAATTTACATTAAAATTCTTCGAAATACAAAGTTATCCCACGACTATCATATTTTCAAGTAAACTCTAAGAAAAAATTCTCTCCGTGTATGAACTACCAATGACAGTATTGTAAGTCAGCTCTTACATATTTTCACTTATGATGATTCCTTTGAGTAATGAAATTTTAAGATAAGTGGCTCATATATGATTAAATAAACGTGCACGTTTCTCGTCTTCGCTCGACACGGGAAACATATCGTCGCGACACTCATTATCCATCATTATATATCGTGATATAAAAGAACGCGATATTTCAAAGAACGTTGACGAAACGGACGTTGCTCAATAATGCGCGGTTTTCTTGAGCTAAATACAACAGCATACGTAATTTCTCGTCGATGATATTCCGCGTAGGATGCCGCGTAACGATGCTGCTAAGATCGCACGTACCAGCTGGTAATCACTCCGGTATGACACTTCATTCGCGTGCGGTCTATCATGCGGATAATCGTAACGGAATCCGCTGAAATTCGAGCAATGGGCGAAATTAAATAATTTATGTTTCCCATACACGCATGATTCTCATCGCTTCCCTCCGCCATTGTCCGGATTCTCCGTTTCGCGTGTACGCATGCATATCGAGGAGCATCGTGGAAAGAAACATAGTACAATACTTCTCTCCTCAACGGCTTCCTCCGACCTGGCGCGGGAGAAAAATCTCCAGGAATAAAGTCTCTCCGTCGTGCCGAGAAATAACACGCTCCCACACTCGTGCTCCCCTCGTTCGTTCGATAAACCCGTAGCCATTATACAACCATGTACGCACACGCGCGCGTGTAACCGCGTTCTATGAGTAGCAGGTGTCTGCAACCATATGACGCTGCAGCTAAATATTGGACACGGATGTGTGTCTATATATGGTATTCCTGAAACAGACTTTAGGAGCAGACTTTTTATTTACCTCAGGAACAAAAAGAAATTGCAGAAAGAAACCATTTTTTACTATATTTTTAAGATGAAAAAAAGAAATTCACGTTGAGGTTAATCATTTATGAATTACACTCTTATACAAAACCTCACAGATCACAAATATTTATAATTTAGAGAGAGAATGAATTTTTTTAATCTGCAACAGAGTGGGGTATAATATTCTGTTATCTTTATGAGAAAAAATATACAATTGAATATGTTTCTAATCAGTAAAATTATCAGATTTTGATCTAAACAATAGAATTTTTTTTCTTATATTTTTTTGATGTGCTGAATCATTTGCAAACATTTATTTCAAACTGATCTAATGGGAACATGTTGAAAATTACGTTAAAAGTAGCACAATTTCGTCGAAATCTAATCTTTGTTTCCAACTTTCAATATTTTCCCATCAGTTTAGCTTGAAATTATTCAAGCTAAAAATTCAGCACATTAAAAAATATAAGAAATCACACACATGCATAAAAAAGATTCCATCATTTAGGCCAAAATCTGATAATTTTACTCATCCCCCTTTGACAATCTATTTTAGGGACATTTTATGTACAATGAATGCAAGTATTCGTATAAGGAAAATTTTTATAAATTTTAAAAAGCCTTATTTTTAGAAAATAAACGTTAATTAGCAATTTTCTTCTCATTCTGTATCAGTATATGAGATACGGTCATTTGCATACAAGATACGTCAGGTATGTGGTTACCTGTGACAAGAGCCCTGCGTTTTACAAATGGCAGGAATACTGTTACACACACACATAAGCACTCATACATTTGTTGTTCTTGTCGCGTGTAACGTGACGATGCACGTTGGGAAGCTGTTAATTACAGACCGAGAAACGGGGCTGTCGAGAAAGTTCTGTGATGAAGTCGATAAGCCGTAAACAACGCGGGACGCATTTTC